GGCCTTTCGTATATCTTCTTTGGAGAAATGTCTATTCAGGTCCTTTGCCCATTTTTCAGTTGGGATATTTGTTTTATAGTTACTGTGTTGTATAAGTTCTTCATATGTTTTGGAGATATATCAGATATGATTTGCAAATATTTTTTCTGTTCTGTAGCTTATTTTACTTTGTTGATGCTTTTATTTTTCAGCCCCACTTGTGTTTATCTTTTATTTTGTTGCTCATGCTTTAGGCATCACCCCCCCCCCAAATCAAAACCAATGTCAAAGAGCTTTGTTCTTCTGTTTTCTTCTAGGAGTTTCATGGTTTCAGATCTTTAATGCATTTTGAGTTATTTTTGTGAGTGGTGTAAGACACGGGACCAGTTTCATTCTTTTACATGTGAAGATCCAATTATTCCAACACTACTTATTTGAAGAGACTAGCTTCAAATTCTTGGCTCCCTTGTCAAAAATTAGTTGACTGTATGTTTACAGATTTATTTCTGGGCTCTCTGTTCTGTTCCCTTAGACTATGTGTCTGTTTTTATGCCAGTACCACACTGTTTTGATGACCATAGTTTTATAATATAGCTTGAAATCAGGAAGTGTGATACCTATATGGTCTACTTTCTCAGAATTTCTTTGGCTATTTGGGACCTTTCATAACATGAACTTTAATCCTATTTTTTTTACATCCAGATTGAGCCTACATAGAACTCAGATTTGAAAATCATGTATAATCTTTTTCACAATCCAAGTGGATGCATTTATCTAGCTATGTGATCTTAAGCACAACTCTGTGCCAGTTTCTTCATCTATAAAATGGGGTCCTAACAGTCACTACTTTATAGGGTTGTTGTGAAGACTAAATAAGTTATTATCTGTGAAGTGCTCAGGGTAGAGCCTAGCAAGAGTAAACACTATGTAAGTGTTAACATTATTATTCTTTCATACATTGTTTCTTAGTTGCAGTGCATTAGTAGTGAATTGAAATACAAAGAAACAGAATACAGCAGAATAAAATATCAGAGAGCCGTTGCACATAGTGAGGGTTAAATATTGTTATAAATACGTATACCGCAATGCTTGGTGCTACCTATCCTGTAAGTTTCAATATTTGCTCTGTTTCGGCAAACTGGAATCAGTCCTTATATCTTATTTGAATGAACACCAAGAGGAATGAGGAAACAAAGAACAGAAACTCCACTGATGTGGGTCAAATGCTTTGGGTTCTAACCCTTGTTCTGCCCCCACCAGCAAAGTGGTTTGGCACGTGACCTAAACCCTGCCTAGACTTCTCCTTTGTTAAAAAGGGAATTTCTCGTTAATGGCTCATAGGAAAGTGTGAAGCGCTTTGAGCTTCTTATAGTCCAGCCCTTACATATTAGGCAAGACCTCTCAACTTGCGGGTTTTGAATTATTGCTTGGTAACATCAGAGCTAATTATGACTCCTCCCATTTCTTGGGAGGGGGAACCCACAGAGGAAAGGTCTTTGATTTGCAATAAATCAAACTTTGCCAAACTTTCTAAACACTCATGAAATTCCTAGAATTGACAATGCAATACACTTAATGTGTCGGTTACATTGATTTTACTTCATTGCAATTTAAACCTTGAAAAGTCAAAGATCTCTAACATGCTCTTTCTCTGTTTTACCATTTCTGGCTATTCCATTTTGCTTTCTTCCTCTCACTTCCCTTCCAGTTTCACAGAGGCCAAGTTAAAACCTGAAAAAAAGCTGTGTGACACTGTTCAGGAAGAGGAGGTTAATAGTTTTTAAGCATCTGGTTCTCATCTTATTTAAAACATGAAAATGGGAATTGGGATCTTGCACACCCAGTATTGACTTGGCAGAGGAGAGAGTAGCCCCGAGGAGAAAGCCTAGTCAGTGAGGGGGGGACTTTGCACTGGCAGGAACAAGCAGCATTAAACTAACACGGGGAGTAAAGTGCACAGGGAAGGCAATAGGTAGGAAAAAGATTAAAGGGCGGTGAGAAAGTTAAAGAGCATCATCATCATCATTCTGACAAGCAGAAATAAATGAAAAGCTACAGAAAAAAATGAGATGGAAAAGGAAAGAGTTGAGATTCTTCCGTGAAACTGAAGGACTTTGTATCATCTGATTTGCTGCTAAAAATGTTCTTCAAATTTTTTTTTTCTTTGTTGAGGATCAAGGAAGGGGAGAAGGGAAGTACTAGAACCATCACGCTGCACTGATTTCTCTTCTTTGGAAAAGAGCAAAAGGTGTAAACAAAACACACGCCGGTGTTTGTACCCCCCCACACACTAACATTTACTTGACTTTTCTTCCCCCTTCTTCATAAACATAAAATGACTTCACATGGAATGTTTGCACTTTACCCTACCTTTTTTGTTTTCATAGACTTCATAATTAATATTAGTAGGTCTTCAGTGAAAGAAGCCGGTCGGAGAAAGACAAATACCACATGATTGCACTCATTTGTGGAATCTAATGAACACAACAAAGTAACAAACAATAAAGAAACAGACTCATAGAAAAAGAACAGACTGACAGCTGTCAGAGGGGAGGGGTGTTGTGGGGCTGGGTGAAAAAGGTGAAGAGATTAAGAAAAAAAAAACCCCAAAAAACACACAGACACACAAAACCGCAAAAACCCACAAAACCGCAAAAACCAACAAAACACACACACACGCACAAAACCGCAAAGACACAGGCAACGGTATGGTGATTACCAGAGGGAAAGTGGAGTCGCGGGAGGTAGAAGAGGAAAGGGGGGGATAGTGGTGGAAGGAGACTTGAGTTGGGGTGAACACATAATACAAGATGCAGATGATGTGTTATAGAACTGTACACCTGGAGCCTATATAATTTTATTAACCAATGTTGCCCCAATAAATTAAAAAAAAATTAGGTCATTATCAATAGATCCGTAAATAGGGACAAGAGGAAAGCATTTGCCCCAAACCATTTCTCAGGTGACAGGGCAGAACTGGTCTTGAAGTTTATAACCTCTAAATTCTTGGTTTCTATTATTACCAGATGGCCATAACTACTGAAGAAGAAATTTTAGACTACCTAGTCTAAACTACCTACCAGTTAATTTGGATCTTTCATTGGTACTGCTTGATGGAACATGAGACAATGGGTAAGGTCCCCCCACCCCTCACTCATTTGGAATTCTTACAGGCACACAGGCCCACGACTCACACAGTGGCCTTGCTCAGCATCTGCGGGCAGCCAAGTCCATGGCAAACCCGTCTGATAGTCATGTACTAACCAATACTTGAGTTGACTTTTCAACACCAGTGGCAATAAGACCATCAATATGCAGGAATTACAATATTCATTACATCACAGTGCTTATTTTTTCTAAGGCCTATATTCTCTGTGTCCATTCAATTCTGTTTCTGAGATAAAGAACCACTGTCATTTGTTTCGGTGTTTTAAAAATTCATACTGTACAATCAATTTTACTGAAAATTTCCGAAAATGCTTAAGTAGGCCTGCAAACGTGGCTTAGTGTGAGCCTCCCCACCTGCATCAGATTTGTGTAAAATAAACCGTGCTTCGCGGCATTCAAACCAGTACCTTTGAGGCTAAGACCCTGGGCATTCAAGGGCAAACTGAATTTTTACCTTGCTACATTTTGTACTTTGATGAAATTTTCAGTAAAATTGATTGTACAGTATGAATTTTTAAAACACCGAAACAAATTCAGAAACAGAATTGAATGGACACAGAGAATATAGGCCTTAGAAAAAATAAGAAAAAATGCCCTCAAATCTTAGTTCTTGCCACATTTGCCTGTCATTATTTCTCAAACCACTGTACATAAAATCACTGGCACAAAGGATACTTCCCTCAAAAAAAAAAAACACAGATTCCTGGGGAAAGCAAATCAAAAGAGCAGGGAGGAGATAATGTGCTTGATTTCTTAACAGTCTATTTACGTCCAATTTATTCTGGTCCTTAGGCCTTTGGACATGTTAGCAAGTGATTATTTTTATGGCTGATAAAATGAGTACAAAACAGGTATCTTTTTATTTTTTTAAATGTCAGTTTGGTTTCTAAAAATTGTTTCTTCTCGCTAGACACAATCCAGATGCCGGGAGCTGACCGGACGCCGGGTCTCAGGACTGTCCCGTCTTCCACATCAGCTCTTCCGCGGCGCCTTCTGAATATTCTCGTGCTTAGAAAAAGCGATCCCCCAGCCTCGCAGATGCCGTTCTCCCCCCACCGGCTCCGCACAGAACATTATCATCTTTGCCGAGCTTCTGTCTCTATGGCAATAACAGATGGGAAGTGCTGCGGCATTATTCATGCGCAGGAAAGGAGGCAGCCTCGGAGGAGGGGAAGGTGGCGGGTGGGCGAGGGGGCGCGACCCGGGGCCCCGCGACGGGGGCGTCAGGGCAGGAACTCGGGAGCGGGGAGAACGAGAGGCTTGTGAGCCTGCGGTAGGCCCGCTGGGAGGAAAAGGGGGGGGATCTACGGCAGGCTCCAAAGGTGGACCCCATAGGAGCCACCTAGAAGCAGTAAAACCAGGAGAAATTGTTCGAAAATGGGCAAAAGGAAAGAAAGGGTTAAAGCCGGAGTCCTCCGAATTCTGTGCGCTGCGACTCGGTGGACTCTTTCTGTTCCTGGTCTTGCGGTGGGGTGAAGAAAAGGGGATTTCTTGGTGTTTCCACATGTGCCCAGCCCCCCCGCCGGATTCTGCATGCTAATGGTTAACCCTGGGAGCCCGGCCCAGGGGGGACCACCCGAGGGCCACAGCCGGAGGCTCTGAAGTCGTGTCCTTTCCAAGGCTCCTCTCCAGTTTCCCTCCAAAACGAAAAACAACCCCCCCCCCAGTATACACCGTAGAAACATGTAATTTCTACCTCCGTTTTGGAACCGAGAGGACAGTCTGGTGGGGGCAGGAAGGCTGAGCAGTAGGGGCAACACTGCTCGCTCCCGGCTCCGGAGAAACTTGAGCCCGCACTGGCCCCACGCGGGCGGAGGTCAGCCCGGGGAAGGCGTCGGGGCGGAGGCCGCCGG